ACGAATTACATGCATTATGCGCGACCTCGGTGACCTAATAATCTCGCTCCGCGACATAAACTTAACGCCGTCGGCCGGGTTCGCCTCCCGCCACGCAATGTACAGGGGGCGGAAAAAAATGTCAAAAAAGAACAAACACAAAAACTACCCCCTACCCGGATTAAGGGTGACATCTGGCGATCAAAACCTGAGCTATTAATGCTCAACATCTCTCGTAGACTGCTCAAACTAATGTTTTTGTTTTTTTTTTTGGGTTGGTTGGGAATCTGTAAATTTGCAATCTCAAAATCTCCCCTGGGGGACGGGGGATGCAGAACTTGAGAATATATACTACTTTTCTTTTATACTCTTTAAATCTCGAGAACACAAAAAGTGAAAATTTCACGTTTGTGATGTTGGGTGTGCCCTTTGTTACGAAAGCAGTGAAATATACACCGACACGGTTGACCGAACATAGTACGAAAAATGCAGAGACCAACGACGTTTTCAAGTCGATAATCGATTAAAAAAAAAAGTTATTTTTTCGAATAAAAACCCGATCAACTTGGTGCTCAAATTATTTTTATATTGTCTGTTAATAATTATTACTCTTAAAAAATTTTCTAACAATGGACTATTTAATTTTTCAAAGAATCTTGCACATTCTACTGTAATACTTTTTACAAAGCTTCTGGATTCCTCCTGCGTTGGTTTTTGCTGAGTCGAAATTGCTGACGTTTCGCCAATCATCCTGTTGGCTTCTTCAGAGCTTGACTGAAACTGAAGAAGCTAACAGGATGATTGGCGAAACGTCAGTAATTTCGACTCAGCAAAAACCAACGCAGGAGGAATCCAGAAGCTTTGTAAAAAGTAATGGACTATTTATTTCTCGAGATTTTTATATTTTCTAAACTTAGTTTCGGTATCTTATTACATTCTATGAAGTATATCTTATGTTCATTAAGTGGCTCATAATTAAATATTACCTCTTATTTGTTTTGTTTTAAGTGCTTAGAATTTTGCTTTACTTCTAAATTTAGTTACAATCAAAGTTCAGAGAGTGCCAAATAAATATATCTAATTGATCAGTATAGATTCAGCTGCCAAGATTTTCCTATTTTAACAAAATCAAAGATTATTTATATTTACCTAAGTTGTGTTTACTCCTAGGCTGCACTAAGTTTGTCACTATTTGTTATTACGCCAAAGGAGTCCGAAAATTTAGTTGCCTATATCTCAGTACATGCAACTTCCGGTTAAAGGAACATAATGTCAATGGACCGTTTAAACCCTACAGTCACTAAAATTTTCAAAAAATGCAGAAAACCCATTTCAGCTGTGTATTACTTCAAAACTGTCTTAGATATATTTTTTTGAACCTAACAAATATGTTTGAAATTGCTAGATCAATTCGAAAATGTGATAATAAATAGTGTGTCGAATATAAAATTTCAATTACGCTGCGGAATTTCGATGCAACTAACAACATTGCTTCATTGAAACATTATACATCGACTGAACAATTGCAAAAACCTAATAAAACGAAATTTTCACTACAAGCCTATGTCCTGCTTTCCGTAAATATCTATCAAATTAAATAAATTTACAAACAACTACATCTGTACTTCGCAAGATATACAAAGCTTAATATTTTCAGCATAACAGCCTTTCGTCTCAATGTGTGATGTTCCGATAGGTATCTTAACGAATTGTTTTGTACGCTACTGACTATTTTACCATTGGGTGTTATTAACTTTTAGTACACCACTAAAAGTGCAGCTTTTTTGACTCCTTAGTTGTTGTGGTGTCTTACCTCATTTTCGAGAGAAGAAATAAAAATCATAAAAATGGACTAAAGTAAATAGGTCTCTTTGGACTGCTTGTTACACAATACACTTAGTTAAAACTAATAAACACGAATTAAAATGACGACCATCATTTGGGAGCATATAAACTATAAAGTACGGGTATTTGCACATTCTGTAGAAAGTTAATTTGAATATAGAAATGAAGCTATTTTAATCCTTATCCCTGACATTGTAAATATCCTATTTTCAAACAAATGAATTTAAACAAATTGTAGCACGCCACTGAGTTGTAGTGTTTTAATATTAGATAAAAATCTGGTACTTGTTTTAAAATCGAATTCGATTATGTTATAAAATACTACGTCACGTCGGTATTCCTTGAGTCACTAATCACCAATTTTCGACCTTTGTATATCATTTTACCTCAAATCAAATTTCACCGGTATAAGGAAAGCCGAAGGTCCCATACATTTTAAAATTAACAGCTCATCAAGTAAGGGTACATTGTCTAGTTTTCTTATATCAACCAGATAGTAGTGAGTTTGTTAAATTAAATATTTTGATTTATTGTTTGTTCTCTATCTCTTCAAGGAAAATGGTTGGCTTTGTTCGAACATCGATGTCGGAAATATGTCCCGATAACTTGGAACTATGAGTGAGTGAGTCGATTGCGATTGCTTACCTTGTCGTCTGATGGCTTTTTCTGAATGAAAAGTGTAGCAAGCTATCTTACCCAGTCTACTTAAGGTTCGAGAAAAAATTATGCAGGCACAAATGACAGAAATACAAACATGACATACACAAAAACAGAAGCAGCCATCTGGGGCTAAATTTAGGATGGTATAGCTTGCTGAAGGGCAAGCCGAATGAATAGCATCGGACGCAATACGCCCTACACTGGGAGACTTTACCGGGACTGAGGCAGTCGAAGGTTGTAATTCCGGGACCTTCTATGCCTCAGGATCCAAAGTGGGTTCAGTCTTAATCTACTACGAACCCTGGTAGAACACTGGACACAGGACACTGCCATCTAAGGATATGCCGGTGGGCGACGGCTGCACACGCCGGTTGTGTTTAGAAGAGGAGGAAACTCCAATTGACCTTCTAATCAACTGCGCACCGCTAAAGGGCAGTCGATTAAGAGTACGAGGAGCTCAATTCATCAGACCGATCCAAACTCCCCATGAAAGTGGGCACATAAAATAGAAATAGAATAAGAAATGAGAGTATGGAACATATTAGTAAATATTCTTTTAAGAACTAAATTTAAATGCAAAACGTAAACAGGTAGCGTCGTATTTCCAGTTAACATGGGCGTTCCTTGCCTATCAACTGCATTACAAGTGGATGTTGGCGCCTTTTTTTCCGAGCTCGTTAGATGGCATTTTGTTATGTAATTTTTCTAGAAAAATTGAAATGGGTATATAAACCTTCGCAGCTATACTTCACTCCGCCGAGTTCAACAGTCGTTTTCGTTTTATTCTATTATTTATTGGCAAAAAAAAAATCTTCATAACAGTCATAGTCAAATAAGGCCACCCACTTAGTGAAAACTACATCTCGATATCTCCCATCGCTTTCTTTGCAGGGATAGAAACTCCGTGGTTAGTATAAGAAAATTTTAAAAGAATCAAGTTTTCAAAATAATGTGCAGAATTGCATCTGGCCGATATACTTAATTTTTCTGGAACCGGCCGTTTCCCTAGCATATCTCGCGGGCTACATACAAAAATACGAAATTAAAATATTGGATGCTTCAAAATAAGTTCTTCAGTTTCCAGCAAATACAATCTTTGTATATTTTTCAGCCACATATATTAACTTAAGGACTTGATAAAAATCAAGTTAAGTAGGAGCACAAAGTTGTTCGGTTTTTGACGAAAATAAGTTCATTTATTCTATGACAGCTACTTCGACAACACCGTGTAACCTTTTATGCCTGTGATCCTACTTCCTTTGTAAGTATTTGTTTTAAATGACTTGGGTTCAGCACTAATTTTGGGTTAAATCGAGTTCGAGGTAATTTGATAACGTTTTTATTTATGACTTTGTCTATGTTTTAAACTAAATCTTTTGTTGACAGTGGCGTATTAAAAAATTTCTGAATAAAAGAATAAAAAGCAGCTATTTTTTTTATGTGTAAGGCTGATTTGAAGAAAAAAATTGTTTTGTATCTTTATTAAATATATCAATCGCTATCAATACTAAATTTTATGGGGTTGTGTATTGAATTAATATAGTTCTGAAAAGTTCTCGTTACCTACCAGCTCCAATGAAACAAGCAAAAACATCTATAACGCTAAAGTAAGTTTTTAGTTAATTGATGTTTTTGTATAATATTATCTAAACGTGAATTAGCTGTTCGATTTTTAGAATTGGTTCTAATCGCATTAATATGTCATTTAGGGAGGTTACTCTTGATATTAGATATTCACAATGCGTTTTCTAGTTAAACTCTTCATTAATGTATGAGCCAAGAACTCCAATTTTTTAAACTGAACTACCACAACCACTTGACAAAAAACAAAATACATGTGCTGAATTATAATTCAAATTTTAATCCTTTTCTTGTATTTTTTTAAAAAATTTATTGCAAATGTGTTAAATACTTGTACATAAAATTGAAACTTTGCAGTTAAAGTGATTTTCTTAAAAAAAAAAACTAATTCAAACTGGAGTGTTTACTGTCTCTGTCATTAAAATACTAATATTAAGATATTGTTGGCAACAATACGGCCCAGTACTCAACTTTCTCAAAATTAAATTATTGTTCCTTTAGTAATCGAGTAATGGCCTAATAAAATATAAATATTGTCAAAGGTGTAAGATAATTTAAACAAGAGCTAGTAAAATGACACTTTCCGCACGCTAGATCAGTTTATAATTAGGTATTTTACAGAAGAGAGCGGAAAAAAATTATTTTACGTACATTGCAAATAGTATTTTTTATAGCATTCCTTTTCCTTTCCTATCGGTAAATGTTGAATTTTTAATTCAAATTATGTATTAAAATATCTTTAAAAATGTATTTTTAACAATGAATATGGAATGCATATGGATATGATTCATTTCAAAGAGCTGAGGGTATTTAGTTTCCCGCTTCCAACTTGAATCGATAACGTAGACATTCTCTATCCCGCGCAGTTTGAACAATCTTGCCAGTCAGAAAAACAAAAGCGAGACGCAGTGCGCAAATGCGGGAGTCTGAAACGATTGACGAGAATGGAAAACGGCACCGCTACTTGCTTGCAGTCGTTGCGAACATGTCGTAGGATTTTATCGCATACAGTCCAGTCTATAGTGTTTATTTTCCGATTTTGTGCGGATGCTGTCGTTCAACAATTTGCTGCGAAACCGCTCCCATCTCATGGTGAGCATCTCCGATGCTTTGACGAAGCGTAGTATTTCTTGTGATATAGTAGTTTCACAGATAAATTGGTTAGGCTTACCGAATTCAATAAAATTACCTGTGCCGGTCTCATTGTGCAGAGAAGGAGGGCTCAACTTTCTTTGAGCCCCATCATTTATATAAATAAGAATTATATATGACCAAATCCAGTCTTACCGTGCTAATCGAATAGTTATCGAATCAGAAAACACAAGAACTACCAAAATGTAGTGTTAGTAACCAAATTAACAGTTACAAAATAATGAACCGTTTTCTCGTGTCAGGTTCCCTTTACATTTGAACACTTTTTACTGACTCATTTTTTTTAACTATTTCCATTGGAAAATATCCACGTTTCATCTAAAAATATCACTTTTCTAAATTTTGAAATGCAATTTTCACTTTATTTCTTTAAAGATTGAACAACTCTCAGATTCGCCATCAGTGATGAAGCCCAATATCCAGAACACTACTTTTTTTAATTTCTTTCAAAACTTGTTCAGTTTTTGATCTATATAAATCATAAATTACTCTCCGAACTTCAATTCAACTTGCCTCAAATCTTCGGTCTATGGTTTTCGTCGTTTACACTTTTTTGTTTTTGCGCGGAGATGCAAAAAACCAGAGAATTGTTGTATTATCCATAATGTATCTGTTACCAAATGGTATCTATCTACACTTATGTTTTATAATATACACATTTATATTATTCGATTTGAGTCTGTGTCTTCAACTAAATTAACTTACAAAATGGTTAAAAGTATTATAAAAATTTTCTATAGTAATAGCAATGGACAATCATAACATTTTTTTATTAAATCCCCAACCTAGCACTAACAGGGGGAAGAGAATTTGGTGACCTAGTAATTAATTTTAGTTGGTGATTGAGAACAAAATATTCCTATAGGTAATACAAAATAACAAATAATGAGTCAGTTTCCTCTTCTAAAAAGTCACAAACATATACTTCTTTACGCTGAATTCTTTTAAACCTTCTAAAAGTTTGCTTTCCCAATTCGGTGCCACATAGTTTTCAATGTCCAACTTGGTATTATTTGACCCTAGAACTTTATGTAGTTGACTACTGTGATAGCTCGTATTTCCCGTTACTACAATGCTGTTCTGAAAGATGTTAGGTAGAAGACGATGCTTGAACCATCGTTCAAGGTGTTCTACGATTCTATCTTTACTGTAGTAGACACATCAGTCTTTAATGTTTTTAAAGTTAAGTCACAGAACATGTAAAATTCTTACTATTTTCCGGAGACTTAGTTGTTGTTTTACATACTCCGGAAGAATCGGACCGTCCTTTGGATGATTGGATGGAGTATCATGTCTTATCGAAGTATTTTCCAAACCCATATAATCATATCACCAATTTTGTAATTACCTGCATCTCGTTTATATTGTTACATTTGAAGCCCATTGCAACCAAAACTTTAGGGAGGCTACCAATTCCATAGCTTATTTGGGATTTATCATTAAAAATCCGTTCCTTCACACTTCGTAATTTTGGTACAATTTGCTCTTTATACATGTAATAAACTTTAGGCCTCCGTTCTTGTCGCATTCGTTAAAACTGAAAGTCAAGTCTTTACGCCTACTTCTTGTTTTAATGAGGTTTGACACTATTATTTTCACAATTGTAGTGGGTGCAATGAGTCCAAATTTAGTAGCCATTGCAAAATGTCATTGTAAATTGTTATTTTTAAACGCTAGGCAATCGGTACACAAAGCAAATTTCAGCAACATGACGAACAAAATAGTTACTACGTTTTTAGGTTATCTCGACAACTTCCACCTGACCAGGCGGATTATTGCCAATTACAAAATAGTGCATAGTACATAATAACGAGCAAACGGTATATAGAAAAATTACAATTATAATAAAATAGAACTAACAAAATAATATAGACATGAATGCAGCTTAGGATATTTTAATTATTCAACAAATTGTGGATATTTTGTCTTTAAAAAAGATTATTCAAATTTGATTACTTATGCTTAAAACAATTTTAGAAAAATTGGAAAATTTTCGTGTAACCAACAACTTCTTTAGAATTTGTTATTTTTTTTTTGTTGCAACATTTTACTATTGTGTTACTAGTGTTAAATAATTAAGTGGCTTGGGGTAGTCGAGGTAAAATGATATTGGCAATGGCATTCTGCACTAGCTATTTACTGTTTACGTAAAACTATTTTTAAATCAGTGCACATTGGATAAATCCTAATACATAATATGAACTTTTGTTCTATCACCGAAAATTTATTTCTGCCCATTGCTGTGACATCTTTCAATAGTCATTATTCACAACACACATGAGGTCACATATGTCAGGATGCATGAAATGGTAAAAGGCATTTTGCCGTAAAGTTTCGTGCGGTAAAATTAGATAATTTTTCCGTTCTACACTTTGCTGATTGTTATTTTTCTCCATTGATTGATTAATTGATTTCACATGCATGTCGATAATGTAGCTAAGTTGCAAATTTTAGTGGTAAATATGGAAAGGATTAAATAACTATATAAATAACTAATAAAAAAAATAATTTTGTTTTAACTGATTGAAAATTAGGCATTATATACATCATACTAGCTACCATTATTTTTATGAAAAAATATTCTAATAATCATCATCTGACTCTTGACATTATAATTAAGGGGTCAACGAACTGAACGATCAAGTTGTCATTTTCTCTTTTTCTTTAATGACATACTGCACTACTATTGGCAAGTTCTCTGGTGTCACGTCCTCAATGACTAAACCAAACAGTAGCTTAAGGTCTTTTATTGTAAATGTGGTGTTGTGTCTAGCTTTAAATCATTTCACTTGGGCCCATATTATTTCTATAGGATTTAGCTATGAAGTGACGGTTTGCGCAGGCCATAGGTTTTCCTGCTGTATTTTCCACGCCGTATAAATTTGCTGTATGTAGTAGTTCCTTCTTCATCAACATACCTCCAAGTTCAATATTTTTGGTTAGTTTTAGTTAGCTGATTAACCAGTCCAATATTTTTTGCTTTCTCCAAGTTGAAATTGGATAGTTTTATGTGCATCGTGAAGAAAGCAGCTTGCGTTTCAAAACAAATGCGAAAAACTTAAGGAGGTTATTCTTTATTTTAAATACAAGGTAGTTTGTCATATAAATGTTATGTCAAAAACCAATCATTTGGGATCTATCTCGCTACAGACAATATCACGGAAAAATATTGCTTTCATTATTTATCTGAACATCGGAAATAGATTGAACAACACAATATTAAGTGTTAGTATTATTAAAACGCATTTTGTTGCTTTTCTTAATATATTAAAATAAGTGGGGAAAAAAATATATTTTCTATTTCTATGTTCTAGATATAAACTTTTGTCTCCCCGAAATTTTTAAATTATTTTGGTAGACATTGACAGCACTCGACAAAATTATTTTTATAAAGTAATTTTTCTTTCGACATAAAATGTATTGTATTTTTTTATTTGCAAACTGTAAGTTCTATGAAAAAAAGTTTCTAATAAACCCCTCTATCGAAATTTATTTTTTCCATGTTATTCCTTTTTGAGTTATTCTTTAATTAATTTAATTAAGGAGGTAGTCTAATTCTAATTAATATTTAATACTAATCCTCTGCACTCATTAAAAAAAAATATTCTGAACGTTTGTTTCTATATTAGCAATGGTTACGTAATCATTTATTGGTCCGTCTATTTTTGATGAGATTTTGTTTATGCCCCTCATTTAGCTCCGCCCCCCTCAAACAATATAAAAGCAGGTGCAGAGTAAAATACAAGATAGTTTCAGTGAAGCTCTGAAGAAGCCAACAGGATGATTGGCGAAACGTTAGCTAGTTCGATTCAACAAAAACTGACGCAGGAGGAATCCAGAAGTGTTATAAAAATTATTACAGTAATCTGTGACGGTTTCTTTGAAAAAGAAAATTATCCTTTACTTTTTGTATTTTATCATTTCACCATATTCCAGTAAATTACTAAATTTAGTTTATTAATTTTAGCCTATTAATTTTTTAAAACTGCCTAATATGATATTGTTGAATTAAACAAAATTTTTAATCAATTTTTATTTTATACTATCAATGACTTGAGGACGCGCGTGGGATTGAAACAGATGCCACACTTCGATTTTGTTTAACCGGTTATTCGCTATTATTTTTAGACATTTCTTTCAAGCGCCATATTTTATTTATTTTATCGATTTGACTATAAATACTTGACTAATTTGCGGGGCGCGATTACTACTTAAATATTCGATTGAAAATTGTCGTTTCGATTTACATCGGAGACTAGTCTCATACTCAATAAATAAGGATTATTAAACCCAACAATTTAAACAATTGCCTTTATGAAAAGCTTATGATAGGCGCCCCGTTATAAGTACTGAATTTGACCTTCAAATTTTTAATTTTAACTTTGTTTTTCAGTTGAGGAAAACATGCAATTCTGTGGCGTGCTCAATAATGATAATTTATATAGGGCGTTCGGAAGTTGGGAGCACAATTTTAAAAGGAAATTTATCTTTAAAAATAAATCTCAGTTTAATGTATAAAGGAAGGCGTAAAAGTATTTGCTAATACTATGTTTGAGCAAAAATATCTGTGTCAATATTCGAGGTATTTTTATTAAAATTTCTCAAATTTCAGAAGTCGTTTTCTATTTTTATATTATGCATCTTTTATATGCACCATTTTAGCCACAAATTTGATAATGATCAATAGTTTTTGTATTCATTTATTAATATTATTTTATTGTTAATAAGGTAAATAATAGCAATTTCCACTAAGGAAACAAACCTGGTCCATGAACACTGTGTACTATAGGATATACTATAGGATATACTATAATTATATTAATTAGGTACTTAATTAAACCTAACTCAAATACAATAATTAATTAAACTTCTCCAAGGCCGACAGTTGCTAGTGATTATTAGCCTCTTGCTTTGTATTATATATGATTAACTGTTTTGAGTGTTGTGTTACACCCGTGTACTAATAAGCTCTAAAAAAATAGCTGCCCTGAACCTAACACCTCTGTTTTTTGTGCAATTCCTCTGTGAGGAAGAGAATAGGCTTTTTATATATTTTTTTAACATCAATTTTTTTTCGGCTTTCCTGCCCAAGCTATTTGACAATACCTTATTTGTGTTTCTAAGAGTGCATAACAGATAAGTTTAAGCACTATTCATCAAACATTGAAGATAGGATCTGAAACTTCATTAAAAGACATCTATTTTCTTTATAATGTAACATAAAATTATCGCCTAAGATGACGGTCAAAATATATATCCAAATATTTGATGTTTTGCTTTGCGTCAGACGAACTCCATCCGAAATGGGTTGCCACAGTGGTTAACGAAATTGATCCCTTAAAGTGACACTTTGCGCACGCTTGATCAGTCAATAAATGGATATTTTAGGGTAACCAGTAGAAAAAAGTATTTTAATTTGGCAAATCTCATTCGTTCATTCGTTCATTCGTTTTTAAAGAAAACAATGGCCTCCACTGTTCGTGTATAAATGTCATCATTCAATTTGGAGCATATTTGATCTATTGACCCTAAACTATTTCATTAGTACAATCGAAGATACAAAGTTGTTTGTACTTCTGTTTTCTTACTTTACTAAGTCTCGGGCAGGAAAATTTATTTGGTACAAAACCACACTACTTATAATTAAGTATCTATTTTTATCCCTCTATTATTTAAACTTCCACGCTGAGGGTTGGTTTATCGACTAACGATTAGTTCGCAATAGTGGTCGAACATTCGAGTCGTCTTCCCGAGAATGGGCGTCTGTGATCTCGCTCCGATTTCGAAGTATTTCTGAGTTTTTGGAGCGCAGGCGGACCGGACCAGGGTCGAGCTCAGCCGATTCATCTAACTCACAATACATACATTTATAACCCACAATTTCGCACCTGTGCTATCACATGTCATAGGCTTGATGTTGCACGCAAGTTCAAATTGGAAAACCTTGATACCTGTAGTACTTGAGTCTTCTTTTTAGAAATTAGTCCATAACTTTTGATTTGAGACAGATTTGATTTTTGTTCAGTAAGCTTTTCAATATATTTTTTTTGTTAAGAAATGTTAATTAGGGATATATTACTCAAAGTTGTTTTCTTTTTCATTGAACGCGCTGATATTTTTGTTAAAATCGTTTTTCAAGAAATTCAATATTTTTAATTAACATTATTACTATTAATGATCAAATAAACGTAATAAATACTATACGATTCTTAATATTCATTTGTTTGCTAAAATCGACATTTTCGGATACACTATGTAAAAGCATATTCTATTTCTGTGATTTATTCAAAAAATATATTATAATTTTGTTTTCAGATCAAAATAACAAAACGGGCATAATGTAGACAACAAGAATGAGATTGAGGAAGCGACGCAGGAACCATTCTAATGGCTGGAAGGTGATCCGAAGATGTGTCTTTTTCTTTACAGCGGTTTGTCTGATACCCGTGCTCCTGGTTCTCCTCGTCGCCACCGATCACTACATGAGACCCGTTCGACATGTTCCTTTCAATCTACCACAAGTTGGTATATCCGGTGACTCAGAATAGACAATGAAAGATCAAATATTATTATTATGGGATAGGTTTTTACCTGCACTTTTATTTTATTTTCACAGTAGTTAAGAAAATTGCTTGAAATTCAACTCAGTGAGCCGTGAGCAAAGCAAGGTATACCATTTAACAAAAAAATAATAAGTTACCCCGTAAACACCGTTTTAGAGGATAAGAAAATAACATTGCAGATGTTAGATATTTCTTTAAGTTTTTGGACTACATGAAAAATCATGCTTAGCACGGGTGAAGAATCAGTTAATTAATTATTAAATTTTGGTCTTTGTTCTCAAAGAAAAAAAAATTGGAAACTACTGCGTCAATAAAAGTCCCGCGCAAGGCTGAAAAATGATGTTAAAACAAAAGAAATATATCTTCGCGTTGCATATGAAACTGCGTATATCAACGATAGTCAATTTATTTTTAATTCTGTGCTTTTTAAAAAAAATGAAAACGATTCTCCTACGAAATTTTTGGGATATACCTTTTCTGTATAAATTTTGTTTAAGGTTCAAATCTAAAATTTATTTCGAAAGATCAGTAGTAGGAAGGGTAACAATAATGCTAATTATTTAAAATGCCACTGTTTCACAAGTGGTATCATTAATTGGCCACGCCTAACAAGTTCAATTAGTTTATACCGATAATAATGATAAGTAAAAAGGGAGTGGGTTTATTTTTAAAAAATCCCACAAGAGATGCGTGATAATTTAGCTAATTGAGTTAATTTTCCAGAGTATTATTATTATTGATTATTGTTTTGGTTTGTCGTCTTATCAATGTGGCTTGTCGATTTACATATTCGATATGTCTGTTGTGAATGTTGTAAAACTGTAAATTACCAAACAACTATATAGTGAACCGTTGATTTTTGGCTTAAGGTTAAAATTAAATGTCTGAAGAAGGTCTTGAAGGTCGAAACGTCACAAAAAATAAAATGTTTCACAAGTAACGGAAACTTATTTTAATTTCACTAAAAAAGGACCAAAAAAAACCCAAGAACCATTTCTTAAGAATATATAAAATCAACAGAATCCAAGAACTCACAAACTAGAAATATATATATATATATATATATATATATATATATATATATATATATATATATATATATATATATATATATATATATATATATATATATATATATATATATATATATATATGTGATATGGGAGATATGGTATTAAGGAAATAGCGGGCCCTAGAAATTTTGAAAAAAAAGTAAATCCGCCAAGAAAAAATGAGTTTCTGAAAAGGAATCCAGGGAGTGCAATTGTTTTCTTTCTCAGTTTCTACAAAAAATTCTAATATGGTATGGTATGGTAAAAGTGAGTACCTATTTTAAATCTGAGACAGACAAATTAAAATTCAAGCGCTTTTTACTTAACGCTGTTTGCTCTCCAAGGAAAGTGTAATAATATTTAACAAATGTCCATATCTCCAAAAATGCTGAACGTATTTTAATAAACTTTTCTATTCTATTATTATTACTAAGTGCCAAGCGATTGTATTTGCATATCTTGCCACCAGATATCATTTTATAACATAATCGCAAAAGAAAATCCAGTTTTAAAATGCAATATAACAATCACACTCGCCGATGGCCATTTAAGAAGTTAGAAAATAATTTCTAGCATTTCCTCTTGGCCGGTTCTCTTTTTTTTTCGGATTTCACCAATGCCGTACCTCGTTGCAATTACTGAAACACCCCGTAGGTACATAATATTTTGTCAAGGCGACATTTATAGGTGTAAATAATTTAAAAATTTATTGAGTCTCCGATTGAACGAGAGGAAGAGAGAACGATTTTGTGATATGTTTGGGGTTGATTCCCTTAAAGAATAGGATCTACTTTAGTTTTCTGTATTGGTACTTTAACAGTAAATAATCACCCCATTTTCATAATTGTATGGTATTTAGTATTTAAAAAAAGGGCGAATATTTATCAAAAAAATTTAGATTTCAAAATGTCACGTTTTTCTAAAAGAAATAAATAATGAAAAAAATACTAATAGAAAACAAAACAAACTCACAAAATAATCCATACCCACGTTAGCTGATCACTGACCCGGTGCATTGCCCTCTTGGCTTCATTATGCCAAAGAAAACGTGGATAATTCTTAACAGTTTCAGAAAAATCATGGTAGGACCCGTCAGAACCCGGCACTGAACTCATAAATGACATTTGTTGCATTTTACACAAGCCCAATGCCCAACGACGAAGGCAGAGTTCTGATTCCACTATCCCCAGATAAAGAGTTATCTTATATACGTACTTCAGCTACTAATAAGACAGTTGTTCCTTTTCCACGAAAATGCAAACTCCCAGTATATGTAACAATATATTTGAAAAGCATAAGTGACTCCAAACCGCTTTAGTCTACAAGTTTTTTTGATATATTTTGCAGAGTCACAGATAAAGTATCGTCCCATAATAAACGGGCTTTTCAGTACAGACGCCCAAAATAATAAAACTTGTTAAAAATGGAAGATTTGGTTTCCTTCCATTAGTTTGGCGGTTATTTTTTTAGATGTACTCCGAAGAAAACCTTCTTTCCGAACCCAGCAAAACTCATAATTTCTCCTTGGTAGCCAAACGTTTGGAAATGCGACGGAAACACTTAAAAAAGGTATGCAAGATTTTGGGACTGGACAAACCAGCGAATGACACTTTACACAAGCCCAATGCATGGGAATTTTTGATAAACGTCAAACATCGTTTGGTTTGGTGCAACGTCTTTAAAGCTGCCAGCACATCGTGGATGTACAACTTTAATATACTGGCAGGGTAAGACGCATGTATATCACGGATTAGAAGTAGGGAAACTCAGACAATGACAATAAACAAACCAGACATATCCCCCTTTTAAACATCTATTGGATACAAACTGAAATAGTTAATCTATCATCTAACAAATTCAATGGTAGATTAATTTATTCTATTCTCTTTCCTAACCGAAGGATCCTTATACAGTATGTCCGATATAAGCATGAGATGGCATCGGGATTTCAGAAACCAAACTATTAAAGAATATTATGAAAAATGATTCCAGCGTAAATCGTTTCTGAGAAATTCCAGAAAATATAAACGTTTGAATTTCTATTTTAGTCTGCAACGTCCAATACCTGAAAGATGTTCTTGAGATTAGTACATTAAGACACCCTTTTAAGATGAATACGATGGCATAAAGGGAAATAGAATTCTTACATTTGTTTTTGAAATACTCCATAGGTTATTAAATTTTCTTATAGGCGCCATATTGAATATTTCTTACAATACATAGAGAATAAAAATTGTGTTTAGAAGAAATATCATAAGAGCAAAATTTGATTTTCTTATAGTGGGCCCTCAGAGTCAGAAAACAAAGTTTTGGGTTGGTGGTTTTCTGTGTGCAATAAAAAATGTCGAATGAGACAAAATAGTAATTCCAAAATCTTTGTGAATTGTTCAAGTGACACTATAGACTAGAACAAGTGTAACAACTTTAACGCATCAGATACTCATTCGACAATAGAGAAAAGTATATTAAATTTTTGTAATTTATTACAGGCAGCACAATATAATGCAGTAACAATGTAAACAAGAAAATTGTATATTGCATAACTGCTCCTTCTGCGGGTCATGATAAGCCATCTTTTAACTTTACGAGAGCATATTATCTGGCAGTTTTTAAAGCATTCAGAGCTGAGACATGGGATGTAAAGCTCTGGATGTAAATAGTGCGATGAATTTATTTTAACCTACAAATTTTTTCAATTTTTAATATATACAGTATTGCCCGCGGTGACTGTCCATTCGAAGTTTTATGAAAAACAAAACAGATATTCTTGTGAAACTTGATATATATCCATAATTGGCCCTAACGTACAATTTAACAATATTTTCGCTTTTGCAATATTACCCGAAATCGATGGCAACATTGAAATTTCAAATAGAAGATAGTTTTTTATTGAATTTTCGAATTCAACATAACAATTTAAACAATTTCCACTAATTGTTCAAACACTTATCTGCCATCTCGTTCGCCAAAAAAAAAATATTTTTTTTTTTTAAAAACCCTGCTTCGATATTTTGGCATTAAAATATATTATTCAGTTAACACTTTCACAGATGATAGCTACTGAATGTACTTCAAAACTGTGCATGTAATATCGACTATATTTTACACAGGGGACGCCGAAAAAGTGCACACTTGAAAGAATTTTGGTAATAATAAAAAGTCATTTTTTTAAATGCACACCAACACATTTTTCAATTCCATTAATTAAGCCAACTAATTACCTACAAATTGATTATACGTGTTCCTATGCCTATTTCTGGTCGTTTTTTTTTTAAATGAAGGATTTTCACTATGGTCATAACAATTTACGTGTTATAATGCTTATGAAGATTTTACCCTGACTGGCATCTGTTCTAACCCGCCATGCAGAAACATATTGTCAGGTGGCAAGGTCAAACAACTGCATGTGCTTGATGTGTATTTCTTAGTAACAAAAATTCGAAACAAACACCGTATTCAAAGGAACAATTATTGTAAATGTTCAATATGTTGTCCATTATGCACTACCCATTCTTAAATGCTGACCATGACAGACCTTGTAGTCGCACTCTCTATTTCAGTTGAATTTATTGAGAAGAAAAATCTGCGTATTTAAACAATTAATTTATCAACATTATTTATGGGAATCAATTTTATGTTGCCCAAAGATGTCGATTGGGTCTATTGAAATCACCTTCCCTTTGTAAATTGGTACCCATTGTCCTCTTGGGTATGAATTTGGAATGTCAAAATTGTGCACCGAGCAAAATATTCTTGATGAAGAAGGGACACAAATCTTTTTCGCTACGTCTGTAGAGGCTCCAAGATACCCATTAAATTAAGCTGACACATTGATAATATTTCCCTTACATGAAGTAACCGGATTCGACAAAACTTTCGCAGCTTTAATACTTCCATGTTTCAGAAAATTTTTCCTGAACCATCTGAATTTTGTATGATTCATAGAAGGCAAATATCTGCAACTTCTACTAACAACTCTGCTGTACTCCCCATGTACTATGAATTAATTTTAAATTTCAGAAGAAGAATATTGATTATTTTGCATAATTTCAAAACTACAAATTTAATGACACTCCAGCTACCTTCTTATGTATTTTTTCGTTAAAAAACTTCAATTGATTGACACCTGACAATACGTTTCTGCACCGTGAGTTAAAATAAAAGCCAATCATGGCCAACTTCGTGTAATTTTTATAAGCGCTTTTAACACATAATTTTCTTAGATAGATATAGAAAGACGACTAATCATTTTGTAGATAATTTGTTCTTAATTTAATTGGAAAACATGAAGGTATGCATTGAAAAGATTTTTTATTATTTCTTTCGAAAGTGCACTTTTTCGGCGTCCCCTGTATAAAATATTATCCATATTACACAGTTTTGAAGTACATCCAATAGCTATGATCTGTGATAGTGTTAATTAAATAATTCGTTTTTGCACCAAAATTTCGCACTTTATGTAAGCAGAATTTAAAAAAAAAACGAGCAAGTTCAACACAACAAAACAAAAATTTTTGGAGTGGTATTTCTTATTATTATCCATGTCTTGCTGACTACAAATTTTCAAGGTCAAAATTATATATTAAATGTCCTATATCTGTCGAATTGTAAAGATTGTATTCAAACAAAACCCACAACAGTTTTTCAATTACGTACAATCCAAAAAAGAATCAACCAGGAATTTCAAAAATATTTGGAAGTTATAACAGATGTTAATAAATAACATGTACCTATATTCTAGGTCAACATACTATTGTATGTTAAATATACATATCTATCATAATAATTCTGATAACAAAATAAGTATTATTTTACGTAGGTATATTTCGGATACAATACATCCACAAATGGCAATTTATCACAAAAATGTATATTGATTGGTTAAAAATTTCTGGTGTTAAATTTTCTATTCCAATTATTTTTTAGCTACAGTCCGAAATTTTTGCAACGCAGCAAAGTGGTTCCGGTAACGCTTGCTCGGCAAAAGTACCCTCGTCCCTCATTGGCATCTCTACGGAAGGCTTTGAAGAATTCAATATCATTTATTATTGCAAGACACCCGTTCGAACGATTGCTCTCAGCTTATCGTGATAAGTTACAGTTTTCTTTGCCGCACACATACCATCGCAAACTGGGCAAAGAGATCATTTGCAAATACAGACGGGAGGCAAGTAACTTATTGGATAGAGTTTTTCTCTAGCTTTAAATAACCGTATAGTTTTTCACAAAAACTTTACAAATTATTTGGATTCCTCGAACCTGCTGAAGTTTTGCCAATTACCCTGAAATTATGTCTTTCATGGATCGAAGATGTTGACAGATTTTCTACAAGTGGTAAATCAGGTTTGAACATTATATTTCTTAAGAACTTTTGATATGTGGTCAGAAATGTTTTGAACTTTAAGAAAAAATACCTGACTGCAACAATTTTGTCTTGCAACGTTCTCATTTGTGAACAAATATGGGTTATCCTTTATATTTATGAAAGCTTTTGGAAAGAAAACCTTTGACAATTTCTATCTAAAACCTACCCAAACAGTGGAGACGGTATGTTGATGATACTTTTGTAAAATTACAAATGGCCTCATCGCCAAGAATCTCTCCGAGATTTTCTTAACCATTAAAACTCTATACACCCTAACACCCGTTGAATTAGAAATTCATTTTTAGATATTCTAATTAATAGAAAATCAGACCTAACATTATGTCGTGTAGTGTACAGAAAACCTACTCACACATACTGATACCTAAATACATTACTTGCATACTTAAAACTGTGGTCCTTCTCCGAACAGCTTCGATCTATCATAGGCAAACTTCTGTTTGAGATGCTAGGAGTTTATATCATTCCATGCAAATCTGGCAAAGAATAAATTACGAGGAAAGGACGAAAATTATCAACTAGGATAGAAGTGCTTGAAGGATCCTTAAGACTATGACAAATAAACTTCATACCATACCATAGAAATCTCTAAACAACCGAACAAAATTAACCGGGATTCAGTTCTTTACCTTTTACCAATATGGATATCAGTCATCCGACACAATGTTCATGCCTCTCTAGTTCCGTAGATAGTAGTAGAAAAGCAGTTGCAGTAGGTAGTAGAATTCAAACTAATTTCAGTTAAGCTCCAGGAGATTTGTAGTAAAACCTATTCCAAAGTAACAAATTTTCACTGGTAGCCAGGAAGCTGCGGTTGGGTCCGCATATATTTCCTTCCTCCTTGTAAGAATCCTTTACTTTTAAATATGTACAGGGTTTTCTCGTATATTTTCTTACTCCGTCTAACACCGTCGATCAAACGGGCGCAAATACAAATCTACGAAATATACTGTCAAATGCTTTGGTAATTATTAGACTTCAACAAAAATGAATGGTCGTTAATTTATTTCCTGGAAATGGAAAACAGTTCACTTTATTGTGGTGTAGCGAGGGTATGTTTTAAAGCCGTGTTAATAATCTAATGTGCTCAAGGTCATGGACAGCTGGGGCACTTCGTCTAAAAATACAAAAGGACGTTAGTTGTGTGTGCGTTAAATTGAAAGTTAATAGACAAACCAGAAAAAAGTTATCAAGGAAAATTTATGAAATAAATTACGTTCACCTAGTTATTCCTAGTAATTCCTAATTAGTATCAATTTCTCAAGTAGAGTCAACCCCTAAATTTCTTGCTCATCATTTCCGTATAAGAATTTTAATTTAATTTTAAAGGACTTTTTTAATTTAAACTATGAACTCGAAAAGATTCCATGGCCATATATTTGCGTATATTACTTTTTTTATAAAATTAACTCAATGATCTGCAATTTCAGTTTCTCCAATATATTTGCAAAAAAATAATAGTCTTTAAACAGAATTCTATGAATAAGTAAATATTAAGACCCCCTGTGAAATACATGAGACTAGTGATTTTTTTTTCATTAAGCCCGTTTTATACTAAGTTTTTATGCTTAGTTTCTGAGATATTGTCCGCAAAACGTTTTATGAGAACCTTCCTGAAGAAAAAAAAAAGTGCTTATTAAGCAAAATGATATAAAAAGTACGGATGATTTTGTGCTAAAAAAATATAGTATATATTCATTTACTTACTGTTATTATCGAGGGCCTTTTGCTTTGTATGCGGGAGTCAAAAAGTACCATTTTCGTTGAGCACCATGAACGTGCTAAAGAAAAAAAGAACACACAAAAAATTTATTAGTTTTTTTTTCTACTTTTTGAGCTACGAGTTTATTTTCGATTTTTTTTTAGTTAAAAAATCGTACGTGAGGTTACACTTTAACGTTAGAACGTTAAAAAAAAGATTTGAAAACAAAAAAAATTCTTTTTCAATTTAAATAAATAACTTTCTATCTGTATACTAATAATATAATAAAATAATATATAATAATAATAATATAATAAACTAATCTGTGTCGACTAATTTTTACCATAATATTTTTATAAACATCTGACAAAACAATCAGTTTTCAAATTTTTGTTTACTTTGTTTACCACTGAATGTGAAATGAAGTAAAATATTCATGTCAAGCCATACACGGAATACATTTTATAAGACACGATTTACACTACAAGTACATTATCAAAAATTTTACTTTTTTGACTGCACCTTGCCTGCCAAGCCCTCGATAGCAACACTTTTTCAAACCCCCTTCTGTAAACTACTCAATTATACTATACATTTACATATTTTTTCTGTAAAATACCACGTCAGTTTTATTTCCCACGAATCCGAGCCACTTCCGACATTTCCGGGGTTTGACCGCAAGGGTTTGGGAGCAATCGAATGATTTCAGAGATATTTCCCACGCCTTGAATTTGAACGTTTCAATTCTGACGGTCATGTCACTGAATGAATTCGTGTTGTTTGGCGAAAATATACCCAAAAACTAACGGTCGTAGAAAAAGTATAGTATGCAACACGTTCGGTAATTTTTTTAAGTCACTCGTTTATTAATCACTCGCTCCGCTCGTGTCGAATAAACTCGTGAGTCAAATGTCGTTTTTCGCACTTGTCGCCTAATATACTATTACCACGTCAGTTTCATTTCCCACAGATCCAAGCCACTCCGGACGTTTCCGATATAGTACCACACGGGTTTGGCGAATGTTTTCCGAGATTTTACCGCACGATTTGAATTTTGACGTCTGTTAATTCTGTCGGTCATGTCCGGGAATACATTCGTGCTGTTTTGCAAAAATGTACCCAAAAACTAACGGTCCTATAAAAAGTATAGTATGCCACGTTTAGTAAACTTTTTAAAATAAGGTAATTGCGTAATACGCCTTCGAATTTTGAAAATCAATGTCTTAGTAACTAAATAAATAAATCGGGTATTGTTTAGAAGTAACTAATACTATAACATACCAGATCTCATTAAACTCAGGTGAAGTCAATACTGAAATTTCATGTCGGATTTTTAAAAAAATAGGCTTTTGGACTGTCAAATACAATTTGTTTAAACTATTAGTGGAATATTTGTTGTTGTCCCCCTTGAACCACGCAATAGAAAATACTGCTCTTAATTTAACTCTATATTTACAGAAAAACACGAATCCCAAGTGGCCTACTTATTCCGAGTTCGTCGAATATTTAGTGGACTCGGTTAAACGTGGTGACCGGCTCGACATGCACTGGGCGCCGGTCGTCGAGTTTTGTACACCCTGCATGTTCGATATTAAAGTAATCCTCAACTGCTTTTATCAAACGTAAGAAAAAAAGCTTTGTTTTTACTTCTCTTAGATTATTGCTCATACCGAGACATTGCAAGAAGACCAGATGTATCTCATCAACAAAGCGGGCCTAAATAATATTATTAAACCCCAGTGGAAGAACGCAGGTAAAGGTGCCACCATGTTACAAATCGAGAAATACTACTCGCAGCTTACTAGATCCCAGATATTGCAACTTTATCACATTTATAGGTAAGTATCAATTTACAATTAAAACAGCAATTAAAACCCTGACAAAGGTGTTTTTTATACACTCACAAACAAACTATCATATCATACTTATGACTGTTTCAAAATTATTCGTTTTCCTTAATAACTATTAATTCACCAAACATTTAATAAGCGTTGATTTAATTTTTTGCATTTTGTTTCCATTACAAAATTTTGCTTATGGACACAATATTATCTATAAATCCATTACCAACTTACATTTTTCTTATATTATTACGTTTAAAGGTTAATTTACGTCACAAGACCATTATTTAAAAGAAAAAGAAAAACGATTTTTTTACAATCAAAAATACGAGGTTTTTCATCAATAAATACTATGTTTCGGTCATATTTTGTTTTTCTAAAAAATTTGTTGACCACACCACTGAATTCTACGGAAACGAAACAAGATGCTTTAGTTGTAGTTCTATCTCTGCTCGTTACCGCAATTTGGGACGTAGTGTAAATTAATTAATTAATCTCAAAAACTACAATTTTGTTGTCAACAAAAATGCACAAAATACATAAGCGAATATCTAGAAAATTTGGGAGGAAATGGAGTATATAGAACATCAAAATATGCGAAAAACTGGGAGATTTATAAACTAAAATAATATTCCTTTAATACAGTTCGACGCATTGTATTTTAAAAACCGAGCGCAAAAATGAAAAATGGTTTCACAAAAGTTACAATTTTTTCACACTGTGTACTGAGTCATTGATGCTTGTCGATAGGTTAGAAGTTTACGGAGAATCGAAGACATTTTTTTGAAAATTTAAGACTGCTCTATCCGATTAAACTATTTTGGATAATACATCAACAAACAATAACAACTGGAACCGTTGTTAACTTTACCTTATATTTATTACATTATTAGATTCCCTGCTTTCTTCTGATAATTTGCCTAAATACTTTTCCGTACCTATTCATTATAATAATAATATTTATCATTATTAATTTTTTTCTTCAAAATACGATATGATTTAAACTTTAACTTAGCTGCCATTTAAACTCACAGAAGGCTGAAATTGTGCATTTGGTTTGTGGAAGAAATTTATTAAATATATTATACAAGATCGTTTAAAATTAATGATTGACTGTATGTTTTAAAAGGGGTCACAATATGTATTATTTTATAATATAGTGTTATACCCAAATAGTAGTTGAAGTTGTCGAAATTATTACTATAATTTCTAACTATACTATATGTGTATTAACTAGCCATGTTGTTTAATAATAATTGCTTCCCTTCTCCCTTCTAAATAAGCGACATATACCAAACTTTTATTTCTAAATCATAAGTTGTTGCAACAATTTGGCGTTCCATTACTGACTAAGAAAAATGTGTCAAAATAATGTGATTATTAAGAATTATTGTGATTACATCGAAAATCGTACCACTGTGGTAAACCAATATCCTATATCAAACAAAATTTGACGTACAATAAAAGAAAATTGTTACTTGCGACAATAAATTTACAGAAACGCGGAAGCTTTGCCAAACTGTCGACAAAATTTCAACTTTCTATGAAAATGCACTTAAGTTAAAGTTTTAGTAATACATTTTCGACAAAAAATGGCGAAAAGGAAGGTATTAAAGTGTAATAAAATATACGGCAATGTGGCAAATTTTTATTTCAATGGAGAATACACTCAATCATATTCAAAAGGTGTTGTAATTACTATGGCACAAAATTGACAAAATTAAAGTAGTCTTGATTGTAATTTGAGCCGCCTGGAAATGAACATTTTAGATTTTTATTAAACATTAAGAATTTATAATGGTTAGATCATCAGCAAACTTGGTTGCTGCTGCTCACTTCTCACTTCTCACTCACTTCTCATTGCTTAGTGTTATGAATCCGGCTATTTGGTAAAAGAAAAAATCTTTCTTTTTTTGTTTAATTAGCGAATGAAACCGCCAGCTCAAGAGAGCTTCGAAGTGGACTGTGGGCTTTAAGAAATTTATACCTTACCTTGTTGCGGATGGCAGGTTTCTTTGGCCTGCTCTTTTTCGGTACCGCATAACTGGAGCTTAATAATTGCCCAAACACGATAGAAGTTGAATCCTATACTCACAGAAAAATAGCGACGTTTCGATAACGAAAACGCAGTTAAAACCCTGACAAGCGGACGTATTTTTTAAATTGGTACCAACTACCTTTCTGCTCAGCTCGCCAGCAAAATATAGATACGCAAAAACTTATAGGCCATCGGTTAACACAACAAACAAAAAGTAACAAAAAATAAGGGTTCCCGGGCAGAAGGTTTTACGTAAAAAAATTGGATAATTACTCAGTTACCCACTAAACTAAAACAATTAAAAAAGAAAGAAAACCCAACATAAACTGAATTAACTTTGCTTATGCAATATAACAATAATAATATAGCATCCCACAGGTGTGGACAGTCCACCAAGCATCATATTAACATTCATTTCAACAGAACAGAATTGATCAATCTTTACTTTTTCTATTTGAAATAAATTAAGATATGTAGTCGGTCGTGCAATACACCGAAACCCATCAATTTTACAATGGAATTCAGTCTATAGAAAACCGACTCATACTAAAACCACATCACCATTCAGCCCAATGCTTTGTTAATATATCTAACTGTTTCTCTCTAAGTTGGGTCTTACGCCCCAATTGTTTTGCGTTTGTAAAGATCATGATTTTTTTAAAGTGATTTTAGACGAAAATTCCTTTACTGACCATTGTACAGTTCATTTTTTTCAATTATTGGCCTCGCCTACCAAGTTAATTCGGTTTTTATAAAAGGACTGTTATAGAATAACCCTGATGGATACTTTCTTAATGGAAGGGTCTGGGAACTTTCATTCATCATCTACATTTAAATTTTTCTTGGACTTGGACAACCGATATAAAAAACCGGCTTCTGCATTGGCCTTGACACAGGCGTGAATATGAGAATTTTGGAATCTTATATACATATGATTAATTAATTTTCAGAGCAATATCATTCTCTCAACTATAATCTCTTAATCAGGAACTAGTACATATCACGTTACCTCTTCTCTACAACAATTTTCAGAAATTCTACTAAAACATAACATGAAAATTTTTTGTCCCACAGATCCCCTACAGCTGAAACATTTTGTATGATGCTGTTATCTTTCGTTCCATTTAAAATAGAAAACATCATAATGTATAAAAAATAAAGTAACTTGTTCGACGTTGTATGATCCAACATCCATACGTGCAAGCACAGCATGGCAGGTGGTAAAATTTTCTCAATGATTTCAGTTTCAATTTCAGGTTCGACTTTGAGCTTTTCAATTACTCGTTGTCCGGTTATTTGGAACTAGGACGACCCGACAAGGATCCGTCCGTTCTTCTGGCCGCGATAACCATGAAGGACAGCAACGCAAATTCAATGCCTCAAATATACTAATTATCATCGAGATAGTTTTTGAACGAACAAACGACCTAAGTTTTTAAACAATTGATGCAATAATTAGACGTTTGTAATTATGTACAATAATTGTTGACGTAGCGTGAATATTTGCCTTTAGTCGATTAAAGCAATACCGCGCAACCTGAAGACTTTTTATTTTAAGATGAGTAGTCATTAATCCTAACAAAACAAGGTGCCATCTCAATCAGCGAATGAAAAATTAAAAATTTTTAAAAATCCAAAATTGTAAAATCCAAAGCTCTAAAATATCTATAATCTAATACCAACATAGTAATTCTAAAAGCAGATAAAAAAAATACTACCGTGACCATGAACACAATTGACTACTAAGAAAAAATTCAAGATATGAAAAGATCTGCCACCCTTTACCAGGATTGTCCCTTCGAACTATTGTTAGCGCCAATTTAAAATAAAGAGAAATTTTTTACATTTGCTGGTCTGCATGGACTTTCTTGCAAGGTTCCACTTGACATGCAATTTTTCTCTCCCGCAATAATTTCAAAATGGTGGACCTCCCAACTCCACCAATTTGCGAAGGTCGCACATTGGCATGACCTTATGGGAACAGATGCACATGAGGTTTTTTACTTGAAACTTTTATTCCGGAAAAGCCAGAAATGAGTTTTATACAGTTATATTGTGCAAAGGGCAACGTCTTAAACAAAAAAAAAATTACTTAACATGATTTAAACCATATACAGGGCAACCCAAAAATATAGTGAGTTTTACAAAAACCTGTTTTTTTTATATGCATATAACTTCGCTTAAATGTAATCTAAATTTTTCGTCTTAAATTTTTTGTAGAGAATTTTATTATAAAAACATATTTTTTTTATAAAACAGTAAAAAACTACACATTGTATTCAACAAAACTGAGTCTTTGACAATTATTCAAATTTTCTGTAGAATGTTTATAATTTTAGTCATTTTTGAAATACATTGAAAAATTGTCAACTCCGACATTTCATGAACATTTAAGATGGCTGACAAATTTAGCTATTAGGCTATCAAAAAAATATATTTTTTATTTGTTTATTATTTATTTTTTTGAACCTGATAATAACTTGGAAAGCATTCAAATTATATTGATATTTTGTTAATTTTGCGGTGACTACAATATTTAATTCTTCTTTACTAATTCTTCCTTACTAAAACACTGTTGTTTGGGCTTCTCTAAGCTTTCACAAAATTCTTTTATACTTTTAGCATGTTCTGGATGTTTTTCTAAAAAGATTACGACAAACTGAGCATAGTTTTCCTGCAGCAAAACGTATATGTTCTGGAATATTTCGGACATATTTCGTATTTCACCATTTTGGGCGCTCACTTAGAGAATTTTTTTTTTCTTGGAGTAAGGGAATCATCAACTAATAATATATCTTTTATTTAGAATTGTGTGAAAAATTTCTTTTACATGAAACCTTCCCGAACATAAAAACGATATATATTTTTATTTCAAAATCATTTCAGTTGCACAGAAAGTTTAACTAATTTTACATTCTAAATATCCATATAAAAAATAAAATTGCCCAAAGACATGAAACCCAATGAAACCTATTCAAACTAATACAAATTATTAAAAACGAAAGTTGAGCCGAATTATACAGGGAGTCCCAACTGCCATGAGCCACTATGGCTATCTTGGTAACTATAAGAACTAAAAGTTGGTCGGATTAAAAAATTAAAAAACCCCAAATTGAAGAACGTCAAAAATACAAAAAAAAAATGTTCCTCACGAATTTTTTGTAAAAAATATACTTTTTGAGATTTTAAAAAAGTCCCGTAGCTCGGTACAAAATATGTTTTTTCTCAATGTGAAACCTGATTTCTAATATACCCCAAAAACTGTACATTTTATCTCATTGGACCAACCTTGTAGTTCTTATAGTTACCGGGATAGCTCATGGCATGGCAATTGGGATACCCTATATAATACAGTGTCCGCATTAAAGTTTGCACCATATGGCAACTACGTCTATTTTAAGATAATTTTGTGAAAAAAAATTGGTTGAATTTGTAAAATTAAAAAAATTCTTTGAAGTTGAAAAAAATATATACTTAGTTTTAAAAATGCAAAAAAGTTACAAAATCATTTTAAAAAGATATTTTCTTCCATATAGTACAAAAATTTTCCGTGTGCTCTGTATATACATATTTTATAAATACCTTTAAGATGAGTTTTTAAAAACTCAAAGGGGTGGTCTAACCATTTCTTATTTTTCTCTACAAACCGTGACTCGACTCTACATGCACAATTTTCTAATTTTGCGAAAAAATTTCTTTTTGATCTCGTCTATCCCCAAGTGTTGAAGCTTTTTTGCTTTTTTAATGGCTCTTGTGCCATATTTAAATCTTATATTGGCATCCTTTAATATAAGTAATAAGTACCGATTTGTTTTAATCAAATAGTACGACTAGTACGACTCGGATAGAGACCAACGTCAGAGCATTTTCCGCGTGCCAGAATTAAAATCTCGAGTGCCGTCAAGTATTGCAAAATCGTGGCAGTCAACAGCTGCATCAAGGTAGGCTAAGAAGAAAAGAGATTGTCATTTTTCGCCGCGTTATTTCTAGCTTCAGTTTAATCAAAATTTACATTCAATTGCTATTTCTCGCCCAATTATATTTATGATAAAAAAAACGACTTATTTGTCTAAACATTTCAAAAAAATATTAATTAGTATTAGGTAATAACAAACATATTTAGTAAAGTCAACATTTTATATTAAATTTTTTCCATTTCATTTAAATAGTGGTAAAATTTGTAGATACACTTGTAGCCAAAATTTATCGCATAAAGATATCTATCACCAAAAATTACAATAAAATGATAATAAATGGACTTCTTTCAAAATAATTGTGTGAATTTAATTCAAAAAATATAAAGAAAATTGGGTCTAAGTCGCTGATATTATACTAAGCCGTTCCTCTGTGCGTTGATCTAATTTCCCATTTTATTACTCAACATTTTTCTGAAACAGCTTATTTTTATTTGGAGGGGGGACACTTATTTTCGACTCTTCTTCAGGAACTTTATGACATAAACAACTAGAATAACTTTAAAAGATTTATTTGCTTCATAGAGTCACATTACTTTCACTTCACTAAAATCCATTTGAATCCAGTCTTCTTTAATTTAAATTACTATTATTTTAATATTTTTGAGTTTGATTTGCGCAATAACGCAAAAATAAAACTTACACATATTAAATTCCTATAATTATAGAAGTATTAAAAAAAACGCAAACAAAGTATTCTAACATTTAATTATAAAAATATATTGCACTTGATTTCATATTGCACAAATTATCACGCTGTATTTACATAAGACATATTGCACAAATAACGCTCCCTACAGCGGAAACAAGAATCACATATAAACTTGGCGAAATAATTTATTATTGTTACATTTATATTTCCTATATTATCAGTTTAAAGCAAGAAAAAGGTTTGTAATAATAGGGAAAAGGTCATGGAAAATGTTGACAACAAGCAATATTGATATTTGCGAAGCAGACAGATAGAGGTTCTGTCTCGAGTTAACAATAATGGTTGGTTATAACTGACTCAACCATGTTTGCTAAATAACAGTACTCTGGTTTTCCATATTAATTGTTAAGTTAACAAGGCATTGCCAATCTTATTGTACACCTAACAACCACATTAATAACACATTTATTGACCAGCAATATCAATACTTTTGCCTTATTTGCGAAACGTGTTTATTGTTATTGTTAGGTAAAGAGATGAATCCCGTTGCTAAAAATTTGCATGTAAACGTTTTTGTTGCATAAATTTCTTTTTTTTTCCAATATTTAAATATTGAAGCGAAATTGAGAAGGTAGTAATAGCAATTGTAGTAAATATGGTGACCTATTTTGTACTGCTTATCATTCCCATATTGGATGGTAACATACAGCATCAGTTAACTATTATATAATTTTAAAAATATCCATAATATTTCAAACTTTCAAATTAATGTTGTTTTGGGTTTCCTTCTCTTCATATTATTTAACAATTTTACCACATTTACCTACATTATTGACCTCATGCTATTTATTTTTTTAAATGTTTAGAAATTAACATAAAGCTTACTCTACAAAAGATTTGTTTGTGGACAATCTTTGTGCGTGTCTATTAAACTGTCGAAATTTTCATAGAAAACTGAAACATAATTTTAAACACCTGAAAGGACTGGCACCACCGTCGTGTAACTTACAGTCTCCGAGTCTGAACTGCTAAATCCTCCGCCGTCTCCGATCATCTCCACATATTCCGCCGGTTTAGGTATGGCTTCTCCCCGATACCTCCCGAAGAAAACGGAATGCGTCTCGACGCTCTCAGCTCCTGATTCGCTGTGACCGTCCCCAAAGCTTTCATCAGTTTCGCTCCCATTTTGTTCCACCAAGTACGTCATCCGTCGCACCTTGGAATCGGTAGAGTCGGTGCTCAGGTAACCGGAATCTTCCGGTTTCCAACTGGTTTCCCAAGGTTTCCGGTGAAGTTTTCTTTTCACACAAACCTCGAACGAATTAATTTTGCACGTGTCGATGGGTTTGCGGCTCGTCGATTGAATGATGAACTGATCATCTGTGTTTTCCTTCAGGAAAAGATCGGAACCGTGGATGAGATTCGTGATGCTTCCGTCTTTGGCCGACTTCTGCAGTAGACATAGTTTGTAGAGAGAATTGCCTTCAGGAGTGTCACTTTTACAATCGGGCTTATCGTTGACACTCCTGCTAAACGGGTTTTTTGATGGCAAGGACAGTGGTGGCTGGGAAATGCTACTATCTGCAATAAACAACATTTCACATTTGCATTTTAAAGAAACTTTCACAAGCTAATGCAATACTATTTACAAATCCTCTGGGTTCCTCCTGCGTCGGATGTCCATTAATAGAACTTTTTAAAGTGTAATTTATCACAAAACCACAACCTCCCAAGAAAAATGAGTCCAAAAGTAACCCCACAGTTGTGAACCTTCCTTACATTTAACGCATATGTCATCACATGTCAAAAGTTCTTAAGAAACATAATGTCAAAACCAGATTAACCAGTTGTGCCAAAATTTCTTCCCAACCTCAATCCATCAAAAACAATATTCCATTTCTCACACGAGGGTTTACAGCATTCAATATATATGCGCAAAGAATATATTGGAAAAACAGGACGAAGAATATCAGCTAGGCAAAAGAACATGAATGAGGTTTAAGAATACGACAAATAAACTCATCAGCAGTTGCCAAACAAAATCTTATTCGACAAAACTAAAATTCTTTCGCGTAATCAATTTTTCTACCAAAGAAAAATCCGAGGATCCATTGAAATATCAAAATAGCAGGTACAGGGTAAAATGCAAACTAGTTTCTTAGGTTCTGAAGAAATCAACAGGATGATTGACGAAGTAGAAGTGGGACTAGTAAAAGTAGATTTCTAAAATGTATTGTTGTTTCGTGACACTTCTGTAACCAAGTACTGAATGTGATTTCATCATTCCAACAATATTTTAAAGACAATCAAAGTAACTTGGGATATACTAAACTAATTAATTACTTAATTATTGTCACACTTTCAAAAAATATTGACCTACAAATATCCAGTTAGGCTTTAGAAAAGGTTTGGCGACCCCGGATGCGCTATTTTGCGTGTTAAAACTATAATTTACAAATGTTAGCAGAAATGTGGATAGCAGGATTCATTGACTACAGAAAAACATTTGCCATGCTGCGTCATATTGGAATAATCAAAATACTAACTAATCATTTATTACCCATTTTTAACAAATGTGTTGGTACTCTAACAGAAAACAGGTGATGTCGACAAGTGAGGTAAGAACATCGATGTGAACATCAATCGAATCCTCATCAGTAATATCTGATGAGCGGATGATAGCTTTATAATGGCAGAGGAGTAATGAATCATATTCATTACTGAACATAGGAAAACAAAATATATTACAGCTGAACGAAAGGTTGGGAGTCAAGAGATACAGCGGATTCATTAGTATAAATACTTATGCGCAATAATCACCAACGCCAGATATGTCTTCAAGAAAATGAAAGAGTAGTTCAAGAATCAAAAATTAATCACAAACTTTTACTATATTTCGAGCGCCAAACAAAATTATCATATAGGTTTATATGAATGTGGTTTTTAACTCACGCCATTTATGAAAATAATTTAAGATTTAAATGGATTAAGTTTTAAGAGATGAACAGATTCAAGTAATTATTTGTAAATACTACGACAATGCTTATGAATTATGAAGAGATCTGGAGAAGCTAAGTGTATATACGATATATAAAACAGGACCCCCGCGTGCAAGTTTAATGATGCAGAATATTCGTTATTTAAGATTTTACACTGTGTACGATCAGACAATACCATAACCATACCATATTGCAAGCGCTTTCGCTAAAACCAACATTATATAAATATTAAAGCAAGTATTGTGTAGTTAAAGGTAGGTGGCAAAATATAATAACATCAGTATGGTTGATTCATTTTCATCAGACGCTCTGAGTATATTATCAATAACATGGGAAAGTGCTGTTTCACAACTATAACCTTTTCTGCAACCGAATTGATTAGGTGGTAAAATATTATACACACTAGAACCTCTCGATTTGTTCGTTCATTGGTCTTTCAAGAATCTTTGATACTGTTGACAGTATACTAATGGATTCCAATTGGTTAAAATCATAGTGACTTCAGACAAAACTAACTAACTCACCAAAACAATAACCTGCTTTGATAATGTCAGAAAATAAGAGTTGAGGAGATATTCATTGATTATGTGAACAATGTACGAAACAATCATTGGACAGCACGACTATAATAAAGTTAAAGCTAAAGAGCTTTTGTTTTAATGCGTTGAAGATAATTATTTCAAGTTCATAACGATCTATACCGATCAATTGATGGTTTGCATAGAAATTGACTAAGTTTTTATCACGATGATGATTATGTTCAACCGATTTGGTCGAATGTTGGGTCTTTTATTTTTCGCCACAACTTTTTTCCAATTTTCCATGACAGTACAATTGTTAATTTTTTCCCTGCACTGGCAGCTGTTGTATAGTTACCTATAATGCTATTAAAGTTTGGTTTCCTTATACCTTTGTAACGTTTTCGTAATCTCTCCCTCAGTAACTATCGTTATTATTATTCTTAAATAATTTTACAGGAGAGTGTTTATCAAAGAACTTTAAAATTGATCTGATTTTTTCATCCATACTTTTTACGTATAACAATTTGGAAATGAACTTGATTAGGATCTCTCTAAAAATACTCAAAGTTGATCGGCTTCAAAGCTCTATAATAGAAACTGTCATGGTTGTTATCTGATTGAAACAATTTAGGTTTAATAGATGCAAGAAAATGGTGAGCAGTATTAGAATCTGGAACCATAATTTCGGACGCCCTTTCATATTCGTGATAAATTGTTTCAAGAAGTAGAGCAGTATATATGCACACAATTTTCATGACACTTTTTTAGATGTTATAACGCCACTCACCCCTATGTCTCACCGGTTTTGGATAATCGTATATGACTTGCTCGTGCCTCGGCGGAGGAGGAATGACGTCAGGTTGCACCACCAAGCCGTTAACCACGCCCAAGTTCCTTTGCCTTCTGGAGTGCCTCTCTTCTAAGGTAAGCAATCTCCCGTCACAGCTATCAGTTGCTAATAACGAATCGAAGCTCTGGGCTTTTCTCCTTTCCTCGTAAAGTTCCCGTAGACTGCCGAATACACGACGAAAGTTGCCTGGTTCGGATACCACGACGCCTTCGCGTTCAGAATCTCCCTTGAAGCTACCAGTTGTCCGTAGCAGGATGTGGTCAGTGGACAAGTCAATGGATGGTAGACTTTGGGTGTCGTCCACTTTTCTTGTTCCGTTTTGTTGATGCTTGTGAAGATTCGCCTTCGGTCTGTCCAAGGTGTCCGGTTCGAATTCATCGCTTTCGTGCATCGGGATGTAGTTGTCCAAACAGTCGTCGACTTCTATCAGAAGCTTTCCCGGTTTTTCTGCGCCTCCTTCGTATCTAACCTTCAAGGTCCTTCGTTCAAGCGTGGAACAGTTCGATTCCGATGGTGATGACGGACTGCTTCCGTTCCAGTTGTATCCGTTGTTTACGTATACCTCGCTGACCAAGCTGTACCCATTGCATTTTCTTAAGCATTCTGGTAACTTGGACTCACTCTCGGATGTTTTCATTACCACCAGGTGGTAGCTGCGGTCGGCTCGGTCGATCTCGTCTTGATTGATCTTCGATATGGTCATATTACCAGTGTTTTTATTGTAGATAGCGTTGCGCATGGTGATTTCTTCGTCTACCGGCAGAGATGTGCTTAAACTGGGACTTGTTTGAGACGGCGAGTGGTCCGTATGTTCTAACGAAAGATGGTGCCCTAAAAGTGTAGATATCAAAATTAAGTTGGGAAGCTTTTAATTTTTAATTACATTAGAATATTATCAATTTTTTGATCTTCAACATGATTCTCTAAGTTGCAGTGTACACTTATGAAGAATATAATTTTAATCTGACTTAATATTACCGTTATGCACTCCTACTTTAGACCCTGTAGATGATCGTCTGGATTAGTTTTGTATAGACTGTGATCAATAATTTAGATTTCCATGTCAGCGAAATTCTTGACTTTCCAAATATATTTCGGCAGGCCTATGAAATTATTCGTCGAGCCTTTGATCGAGAAGGTTATGTGCATAGCTAGTACGCAGCTAAGTTGACTGTTGTAATAGAGAAAGAGATAATATTCTGTGGTAGTGACCAACGGGGACACTGATACGCTCGTATGTTATCTTTCCTCACCATGAGTCGAAAGATTCTATCAGTGATAACGGTTTACCACGAAACTGCGCAAACTGTATTGAAAATTGAATTTACCTTTACCGACGATCCGTTCCAAACTGTCGGCCTCGTACTCAACGTCTGCCGTAAAGACTCCATTCGCGGACATCAAAAGATTCTTATGCACAGTGAGCTCATTTATCACCGCCTTCATTTGTTCCTTCGTTAGAGTCTGTACTCTGTTCTCATGATTCTCAAGTTCTATTGCCTCCTGAATCATATCAGGTGGTGGTAGAGGTGCTTTTCTCTTATTCTTGTCGCGGCACTCGACGTCTGCTATTGCAGATGTCGCTTTTTTACAAACCTTATTCCTATCAAGAATGCAGAGATGCTCTATGCAACATGAGCTGGTCGGGGTTTCAACCGCTTTATTGTTGCTTGGCGATTTCGCCGGAGTTCGAATGCTCTTTGGACTTCTAGCGGATTTTGAAAGCATTGGAGCGGCATTTTCGTCCAATCGCAGCACCGGAATATCCTCTAGCCATTTTCTTATACTGCTCTGCTTGCTATCAGAACCTAGAACAACCGAGTTAGAGTCACTGTCAAAGCAGTGGCGACAACTTACAACTCTGACAAGTATTTAGTGACGTCGTTTGCTCGCTGATGGTGCCCATCTTTTTGGGCTCGCACCCCGGACATCCGGAACAGGGTTCGCGCCTGCTGTTTCTCTGCTTGAAACTCACTCCGCTTCCACGTCGGCTCGAAGGTCTCGAGAAATCGATAGACGGGTCAATAGTGTAGTTCGTTTCCTCTTCCGGTATATTCAGTAAAGTAGGCGTGAAACGCTTCGAAGCCATCTTTTGTTTGGCCACAGCGATGACCTCACGTATTTTTTCGAGAAACTCTATCGCCGCAGGCGGTGGAGCCTATAAACTTACTCCAATTACAACTCATATCGAAGAATGTTTTGCAGCGTTCGTTATTCAAGGCTACTTCTTTTACACAAACAGGAGAGCTTTAGCTATCTTGGATTTTTAAATTTTTGATATGTTGAGAATTTTTCATTTTTAGACACTCTGAATCTACCAAAGCGGGCATATACTAAAGACTTGTTAACCTCCACATGCACACCTCTGCCTAAAAAAAAACAAAGCGAGACCGTGCAGGATCATAGATATGCTGCAAAGGTTTCGATGAATACAAGAGAAAATTTCAACCTATCTCAGTACGGGTTCAGAAGAGGTACAGGAACAGGAAAAGCCACTTTTTATCTAACATTAATAGTTCAAAGATCCTTGAAGTGAGTCCGTTTTGTGGATTACAAGAAGGTTTTTGATTACATACAACACCCATCCATCCACAAGGGATGCATCCGAATAACAGATAAATAAATTATAGAGCAGTACACCGAAAAAGCAAAATATATGCGGTCAATTGAAAGAACAGCTGCAAACGTTGGTGGATATATTAACGAAACACAGTGTGCTAGAATAGGATTGGACATCAATACCTCAAAGACCTTGGTATTCAGTCGGCCCCATAGCAACAACAAGTAAATATTGTATGTATTGTGTGTATGTAAAATGTAGAGAGGTATACATACATATGTTACCTGAAATCAATAATTTCCGGATTTCCTGAAGATGCATCGCGTGCTTTGTAACCCGGGTCTGTCAATCGGAGTAAGACTGCTAATGAAAATGAAACTTGGACTCTAAAGCGTGAGGATCTCAAGAGGCCGGAAGCGTTTGAAATGTGGGATTACGGACGAATGGTGCACATAAGCCGAACTACTAGAACGGCCGTGGTAGAAATACTAGCTAAAATAAATACCCTCGCGCAGATAACAAACTGGACAAGAATCGGAAAAACAACGTATCTCGCTCAGTACAACAGATAGAATATTACCAGCTACAACTAACAATGGAATGGAAGATTGAAGGAAGAAGGGGTATAAGTAGAAAAAAGAAATATTGGTTGAAAAACATACGAAACTGGACAGACACAGATGGTAGCACCGGTAAGACGGTAGCTTGGAGAGTGAAGACACCCGTTATAGTTCCGTAAAGTGTTAATTTTTCGAAGGAGTGAAAGCTAATTTGAATAGGCTTTTTTACTTAGAAAGATTTGAACTTGAAATTTAAATTGCAAAAATTCTAAAACGCACAAATTATGATGTACAGGGTGTTTCAAAAATATTAAAATCGCGCTCTGTAAGGAGGTCCCAGAAAACATATTGTTTAAACTATTTTCTAATTGGTTTAAGCTATCTAAAGGAAATTTAGACTACAGGAAAAATTCCATAATAATATGCCACTTTATTTTAGGGGCCGCTATCTAGAAGAACTTTGCTTATAAAGAGGACTTCCCTTATATCTTCTGAAGATCTTAAGTTGAAGTCATTTTCGATCTTTTTACAACTCTAGCTGCTCTATCTATTAGGATTATTCAGAACCAATAGAGATCTTTGGCCACGTTGGGATGGTAAATTTTACATTTGGCGACATATACTTGGCAGCAGTTAAGAGCTATTTAACGTGCAAAAAATATTGATTAAGAATTGGATAGCGATGAAGGATAGACTTACCATCAAAAGATGAGGTTCGAAATAAGCCGGGTTAAAATACAGCTTCTTCCTGACATTACCGGCTAGGAACTTTAAATCCGCCTCGTCTCTCGCCTCCAAGGTCTCCACTATCGACACGTCTTCCTGAGGAAGTCGTTCGATACTGGAGGAATCTTGATATGGACTGTCCAAAGTCGTTTGCAGTCTGTTTGGTAAGTTATATTGGGTTCTCTTAATTTGGGAATGTACCACCGCCGCGATTTTCTGATAACAAAATTGATAATTAAATACCTATCTTCAATAGGATATGTTTGATAGTTACTGTTCTTCGAGTGTCATCGTAATGATTCAATGAGTTTCTATCTATTTCGTTTTCTGAGCTGCTACTTTCACTGTAAGAATTGTTCTCCCCGGAGCCAACAAAATGCGTGATGCCCAGGAGGGGATTGTTTTTTATAATACCTTCGTCTTCTTGGTTTTGGCTTTCGCAATCAGAATCTGCACCAGTAAAAGGAAGAAAGGATAATATTTTCACACTTGGCGCAAGAATCGTGAAACAAACGAAAGACAGGTGAAAGAATTATAAAGAATGAGACGCTTCAAGTGATAATTAGAGAACATATTTTTAGAATTATGTGGGACAGTGATACCCCAGATTTGGACTCTTTGACGCTGACTTTCTCCACAGACAGCTGTCTAAATCTAGAGGCAAATGCTCTGTACAGCCTGGTCAATGTAAAATGACTCACTTTGTGATCTGAGAACTGATAAAATCTAAACTAAAATTAAGTTAATTACAGGATATTTCGTTTCTTCAGGCCAGGTACAAGCTTTCTCATTTTAAATACTACATCTTATATATTGATACACATTCCGACAGTGCAAGATAAGCTTAACAATGTGGGGTCATCTAAAGCCCTTGGTTTACGTTACTTCTGTTGCTGAACTATAACTGAATTAGAAACGACCCTGGTATTGTTTACAGAGTTCTCCAGTCCATGAAGAAAAGATTGGAATCCTGCATCCACGCCCTTTCAATAGTTTTATTTTTGAAATTTTTTTATATAATAAATATTAAATTATTTTTAGTAGAATTGTTCGTAACTATAGGAATGCTGAAAAATATTTTTATGATAAATGCAATAAAATTAAATTTAAAAAAAATAATTTTGATCTTGTAAACGAAGTACGATATTAGAAATAATCAAACTCAAATGATGAAAAAGTTGTAATGCTACTTTCAAATTTTTATTTAGTTAGAGTAAAATCAAGTCCGTGAGAAGATCTATAAAAAAAATTATGCATTTCCGAGACTACATTTATGGGAACTTTTTTCATAAAAGGATTTAACGAATGATTCCCTTATATGTTGACTCTTTTTTAAACTCTCCATATATGTATAGGGTGTTTTATTTTAAAAAAAATAAACACCATGTTTACATGAAAGAAGCTTACAATAAACTTTGGTGATAAACTTTTTTTGTAGATCTTAATCAATTTTTCAGATTGCTAAATATACCAAAAAGTATAGGATTTTTATTCGAATGATTTTTGTTTAAAAAGTGTTCACCTATTATGTCACTATTATCACTATGCAAGGATAGGCAGAACATGAGGAGTCAGCTTGTACTGAGAATATTTTGCCAGCTTTAACTTAAACTACTGCACTTCTCCCTAGTAAAAGCAAATCTTTTGTATGGGAATTTAGATTAAGATGAAGTACCTGAATGTCATTTGAAAGCCCGAAGTAATAGTCAGAATGGTTCCTTAAACTTGTCTCTGACAAAACAAAACCTCACCCCATAGACTTGCTTTTCCAGCAAATCAACATTTTGTTTTTTTCAGAAACTTCTGAAACAGTTTCAGATAAGCTCTGAAGAAGCCAACAGAATGGTTGGCGAAAAGTCACCAACTTTGATTTATAAACAACCGACGCAGGAGGATCCAGAGGATTAATTAATATTACAGTAAGCAAAAAGATACTAGTTCTTATTCCCAAATAACAGAACTTAAATCACTGAAAATTATTAATTTTTCAACCTTATGAAACTAATACCTATTTTAATAGAATCATCACCACGGTAAATAAAAAACTTTTGGAGAGAGTTTAGGCCATCTTCCAGGACTTGATTCTCTTTCAAGAGTATACTTTTGTGAGGAGTGAACAATACCACAATAGTAATAAAAATTTGACACTTCAGGTGCTGCTTTTGATTGTTTACCTCTAATTCGCGATTTGCCGTTTCGCTTCCTGAGATACAAATAGAGAAATACAGAAGCCACGTAGATCAGTCCCAAGAGTACCGAACAAATTCCTATCGTCACGTATTCGTTAATGCTTAGACTGCCCGCGCCCGATGTTTTGGCCTGCGTCGGAACTTCTAGCGAAAATGCCACTTCTGTAACATCTAAAAGACAAAGGTCGCGTCGAGGTTCGAATATTCGCGGCACTCTACTTACTACTTTGAGATCTGAAAGGAGTCCCAACCACTCTGAACGCAACACACGGCTCGAAAATGTCTTTGTATGAAGTGGTGACCGAAGCGGTTGGATCCGCTAATTCTTTGCACATCAACTGTACTAGGACCATCCTCCCAGACATCTTACTTCGTAGTTCGGGTTCTCCGACCCACTGCACAAATTGTTTACTTAGGAGATGATTCGAGGCTCGTGAGTGCAGGAAAAGTTTACCTGAAGGAAGGTGCGACCTTCATCGCGGAATAACTTGAAAGGTATGTCACAGTCCATAGAGTTTCTGAGATCCAACCATCCGTTTTCGGTAAGAAATTTCGCTCCTGACACCCCACAGACTGGAGTATTAACATCTGAAACGTTCTAGAATGCATTAGCGAGAACACTTTAATTTTCCAAAGAAACTTCCACAGGCTACTGTAATACTTTTTACAAAACTTCTGGGTTCCTCCTGCATCCGTTTTTGCTGAGTCGAACTTGCTGACAGATTGGCGAAACGTCAGCAGGTTCGACTCAGCAAAAACCGACGCTGGATGAATCCAGAAGTTTTGTAAAAACTATTTCAGAAACACTTTTTTACGTACGAGTTACAAAACTGGATGCTTCAACATCAAGCAGTAAGGAAATTGAAACACAAAATATATGAATATATTCTGCCGTATTTCGTATTGTATAATAGTAATTATAGAAATAATAAATACATATTAAATAAAATTTGTCGTCAGACTAAATTGAATCTGTGCTATCACTATGATCCAAGGATATTTGCCAAAGTTCTTTTATAATTATATTCAACTTCAAGTACAACTGCTCTCTGGCATTAATGCACAATGAGTATTAATTACATGAAATACATGGGCGGACATTTTTGAGTTTATATTATTGCGTCTTACTTTGTTTTCTAATTCGGCCCATATCATTTCCATAGAATTCAATTAACAACAGTGAAGGTGGTAATCTCAGAAGTATATTACCTGATTTTTTCTTAACCTCGTCTACCAAATAAGTTTTATCAAACCATTTGGTTTGGCAATTACGGACGAATACCCTGTCCTTAAAGACTATTGAAACTAAAACGCCCTTCGATGCTATGTTGTCTCGTCCATACATGTTCCGCAATACCAGATTTTTTTATACCGCGGGCTGATAATACATTATCGGCAAAAAAATGTCCAAGTTATATTACTCAAAATTAGACAACTACTATAGTGTCCAACTTCATCTACCATTCAGTTTAGTTTATTATACAAGAAGTTTAGGCACGAGCGGAGCGTTTAATAAGGAGTGCCTGAAGAAGTTTATTGACGTGTTGTACTTTTCCTCTACCAGTTCTTGAATATATTTTAGCAAAACAGCAGGAATAGAATAAATTCATCAAGTGATGTGCGATGTACCATCAGAATTCACTTCAAAATACCATCATGTAGTAAATATCTCCCAAAAAATCCGATGGTTTGCAACCCCGAGACTAAAGACCGGCAACTCTCGAAGGGACTGCTGACAATGTTTAATGAAGCTGACACCTTAAAATCTCACTTTGCGCATGTCTAATCAATGCATAATTCGGTATTTTAGAGTTAGGGGGTCAAAAGAAATATTTAAACAATATTACGACGCTTATACGACAGCATTTTAAATCTGAGGAGAAAAAACAAATTCTGAGACAAACTTTGAAAGTAATTTCAAATAGTATATTATGCAACAAGTATGGTAAACGGCTTTTGAGTCACTGATTTACCGCGTCAGTTTCGTTTCCCACGCATCCAAGCCAATTCGGACATTTCCGAGATTTTACCGCATGGGTTTGGGAGCAATCGGATGTTTTCTTCGGAGATATTTCCCACGCCTTGAATTTTGACGTTTGTCAATTCTGACGGTCATGTCACACGTTCGATAAACTTTTTAAGTCACTCGTTTAACAAACACTCGCTTCGCTGCGCTCCGCTCTTGTCAAATAAACTTGTGAGTCAAATGCTGTTTACCGCACTTGTTGGATAATATGGTATTTTCTACGATCATTAGTTTTTAGGTATATTTTCTTAAAACAACACTAACATATTCAATCAAATGACGCCTCGAAACTCATGTGGTAAAGTGGCCTTTCATCACGCTAGGTTTGCTATTTTACCGACGAGAATTTGAGCCACGAATTTAATCTAGCACGCGGAAGCGCAGGGGAGCAACTGTTTAATAAACGATTGACTTAAAAAGTTCACATGTGATGGTTACTATACTTTTTCTACGACCGTTAGTTTTTGGGTACATTTTTACAAAACAACACGAATACAGTCACTGACATTAACGTCAGAATTGACATACGTTAAAATTCAAATTGTGCGGTAAAATCTCCGAAAACATCCGATTGCCACCAAACCCGTGCGGTAATATCCCGGAAATGTCTAAAATGGCTAAATGGATTGGTGTATTTTATAGAAGAGAGTATAAATTATTATACCAGCTTTGAAAAATTTATTATTTATTAAATTAAAACTGACACTGACAATAACATATATTGATCAATTTTTTTCATTTAATAGATTCTAATATATAGAACATAAAACTTTTACATACAACCTGTTGTACTAAATCTATTATGCCAACTATATAGAATAATATTATTATATTACATAATATTAAAATAGTAATTAATAAAAAGTTTGATGTGTTAATTTTGTAATAATGTTCATAAAGCGATAAATTCTTGAGAAGAAGAAGGTAAAAAAATGACTTTTTCGAGAGAGTCATTAAGCATTTTGCGCTTATTTTAATTACATGGAATTTTGAATAATAAATTCTAATTACGCCACTGTTACAGTGTTTCATTCGTATTAACACTTCGCACTGCGGAAGTACGTCATATGAGAATTTCAAATAACAAAGGAATCCTTAATAAAACATATTGCTTCATTCTTTCCGTTTACGCCGCATGCGTTCACAGTGAAATATTTCGTTTAGCAGAGATGAGTTATGTACAAAAAAATATTTTTGCCTTTTAGAATCATTTTGCTGCGTAAGTGCATCATTTCTATTTTCCAAATTTTAAAATAACCGAAATCAGTTACATTGAAACTGAAACTAACAAAAACACAGGGACAAAAAATACAAGCGAGAAAGTTTTTTTTATAAATTAATAATTAATACATTTAGTAAAGGTGTAATACAAGTGTTCACATAATACCAAAAATTCTTAAAAACATAAATGTTTATATTCCCACACAAAAATGTTGCATTTCTATACTCAAAAAACATTTAAAATCCAAACGAAAAAGCAATTTTAATTTAACGGATGTTGATTACTCTAAATTTATTAGAATTTCTGGGTAAAATGGAAACGAAATATTTCGACTTGAAAATTTTTATGCTTTTATATTCAAAAAAATATTTAGAATTAAGACAAACATCAGTTTTAATGTACCTATCGGTTACTCTAAGCCCCGGAGAATATAAATGATACATTTCCACAAAAAAATGTTTTTACTTCCGTGTTCATAAAGGCTTCCGGGGTGGGGGCCAAGTTGAACAGATGGTTCAACCCATTAGTGACAATTAGTGACAGCTAACGCAGATCATTTTAATGTTCGGCAATTTGCCTTGATTTTAGAATCAATAAAAGTTTGATGAAAGTTGCGGACATGTATTTGAGTTAAAGAAGAAGATTTCCAAGGGAAGTATAACCGAAGAGAGCTGCTTTCGAAGAGAGTTGAAAAAAATTATTGTCTTGATAAGACGTAGGTTAATAAAGGTTATATACTACCAATAATGTGGCAGGGCAAAAATATAACCAGTGCTTGCTAAGATGAAAGATTGACGGGTATTCAGGAAAAGGGAAGACAATACTCGTCAATATTGGAAGCGAAGAGGAATTTAAAAAACAGGTTTGCCGTTCAGATCTTTAGTCTCTGTAAGGCGTCCAAAATTACATTTGAAATTCGATTTTGAAAATTTCTTCTTTTCTATTAAAACTCAAAACTTCGGTACGTTAGGATGCAAATCGTTTGAGGTCTAATCCAGCACCCGAAAAATGATCACGACTTGCCTGTCCTATCATAAACGGAAAGCACTTTACCCTCAATAAACATTAATTTGCATTACATTAAATTTGCTTTAGTTGACAGATTATATATATATATATATATATATATATATATATATATATATATATATATATATATATATATATATATATATATATATATATATATATATATATATATATATATATATATATATATATATATATATATATATATATATACATCTTGCTATCTTTTCTGCGTCTTTCAATTCTGCTGCTATTCGGCGTCCAGCAAAGTATATCAATAAATCACGCTATGCATATGAGCAGTGGATCTTTCTGATCTCAAAAGTCCAGAGTATATCAAAATATTCAGTTTGGTTGCTTCAAAATTTTAAATTTTACATTGCACTACTATTCTGCGTCATTTCATTTTACTACTCTTTCGACGTCCTCAATATACAGTAAATAGCAACATCATTTGTGCGTCTGCAGAATATGCAAATCTATTGCAATATCTTTTCGGCTTCCGACATGGTTGCCACATCTCATACCTCGTACCGAATTTTGGTATTCCTAATTATCAGAGATATACACATGGAACTGCCTCTCTTTCGGTATTTTAATGAACTCGTTTGTACTTGGGTATTTAGTTCGAATTTTCTAAGAAAATGCAAATAATACATGGGTAGTAGGTAGAGTTCAAGGGGCTTATAGGTTTAATGTGACGAATCAACTTTTTTATTTTTGCTATTATCTAATTGAGTCTCTTAATTTATGTATCACATGTAATAGATAATTGAGCGTTATGACCTTGGCAAGTCCAGTGAATTTCCAGTGTTTAGATTATCTGGATGTCAGTTATAGGATTCCAAGCGCGCATAAGTAAACATGAGTACTGCGGTAACATTGAATTCATAATTAAAGTAATAGATTCAGGATAATAGAACTTCAATTATTTAACGCAGATAATTTGTTTCATCCATTTTTTAGTTAGTTTAATAGGTTCTGATATTATAATAGCTTCATAAAAAATAATTTATTAAAACTAAGACAAACTTTATTATCATAATAATAATAATATATACAAAAATTCAAAAAAATGTTGACACACATGTATGGTAAAAAGAAAAACAGATTAGGATATGTCTATTTTGGCAATATCCAAAACTGTAATAAAAACTGAAAATACAAAATTTAAAGAAAAAATTGAAGTTGAATGTCATTAGTGCCACATATCTTCAATTTTATCGATTGATGATTTTGATACCTAAATAACGTTTTCCATTTTTTTTGTATATATATTTTGGACAAACACCTTAATTTTCAACCAGGATT